ACTTGTCACATCTCAGTTTGCAGAAAGACTTCTTCAACATTTCCTGCTTCCAATGCATTGAGCTCATCACATAGCAGAGTAAATGACAGAAACAAGGGTGTGGATCTGAGACCTGTGATTATTAGCTGAGAGTGCCGGTACAAAGCAGCAAATTTCTGGGGCTCGAAACCCAGAGAAGGAAGGAGCTGAGGATGAGGAGTTCATGTCTGTGGTGCAGCTGAAGCAACAGGTGTAATAACTGGTAGAGAACTGGAAACCAATTCTCTCTATATACTTGTCATCACTACAGCTATGAAACCCAGAGGGCTTATGAAGATTGAGCTTTCCACTAATACATGTGCAGTGGAACAGGCTCAAAAAGCTTAGGTGCTGCAGGTGGGGGCAGCAAAGTCCCGTTTCAGTTTGTTTTTACCCAAAGCAACACCAAGAAATGAACATACTCCAGGAGAAGTCAGTTCTGTTGGTAGATCACTTTATGGTTGTGCAGCTGAGACTGCAAGCATTCAGAGGGGCTGTGTCTGATCAGCCTTAACCCTTCCTTCTTGCTCTTCTCTCATTAATAAACCTTATCACATGACTCTAATTGTGGGAATCAGCTTATATTTTCCCCACAGGACTCATTAACATTTGTACTGCATTTGCATGCAAAATGGCCCAGTTGCACTAACCACTGCAAGCACACATGAAATAAGTGCTATCTGTGTATGTGAGAGGACGAAGCACAGAGGAATTACAGGGGGCATTTGCAGCATACAAGAAAATGTTTCCTATGAGAATAGTTGCATGGTATATTCCTTTCATGACTTTCTTTATAAACAACCAATGTTTTCTTTAAGATCTTCACTAGGGAGTTAAGTGACATTGAAGTGCACGAAGAAGAGGAAGAAAAGCAGGGGAGCCAAAAGTGTGACAGGTAATAAGGTGGCTGCTGGAATACAAAATCAATAGCAGAATAAAACAGTTAGGAGGGGGTTCAGATGTCACAGGACAGAGGGTAAACATAATCAGCTTCAGAATCGTAAAGCCCCCAGATGGCAGAAGCAATTGCATTTCTGGGCTATCAAATAAGTGGGGCAGATATTGCTGGGTTTGACCTAATCCCAAGTTCTCTTTTTTCTTCCAGAAGGAAGACTGAAAGCCCTGGAAAAGGCTGTAGTGCTGTTCACTGCAAGTGGCATTCTCAATGCAAGCTAATGCCATTTTCACTGCAGAACAGAAAAAAAAGTGAATTTGCAAATAGCTTTATACTGTCTTGAAGGCATTCAAGGAAATGATCTATCAAAAAAATTGCTGCATGTGCACTTCAGGAAAAAATATTTCTATTAGACAAACATATTTATTGTTTTACAAATCCAATGTTCCCTACAATTGACACCCAATCAACAGCAACATAACAGCAAAAGAAACCATTGTTAGGAAAGTACCTTCTCCTGAATACTACAATTGCATAAATAAATAAGTTATCTATTGAGCTGTGCTTTGGATAAAGGCAAGTCCAGGCTACAAGTTCTGACAGAACATAAAGCATCTGCATGTCTTAAAAGCTCTAATGAAGTGAAAGACATGGCGCTCAACCCACCTGCCAAAGCTCATGTCTTACTCTGGCCCACCTTCCAATGAACCATAGCATCACAGAATGGCTTAGGTTAGAAGGGACCTTAAAGTTCATTCAGTTCCAGCTCTCTGCTACAGTCAGGGACACCTTCCCCTAGACCAGGTTGCCCCAAGCCCTGTCCAACCTGGCCTTGAACACTGCCAGGGATGGGGCAGCCACAGCTTCTCAGCAATCTGTGTCAGTGTCTCACCACTTCCATTGAGAAGAACTTCTTCCTAATATGTAATCTAAATCTCCCCTCTTTTAGTTTAAAGCCATCCCCCCTTGTCCTATTCCTACATGTCCTTGTAAATAGTTGCTCTCCAAATTTCTTGTAACCCTTCTTTAGGTATTGGAAGGCTTCTATAAGGATATATGCTATAGGGAATGCAAGGATGCATGGCTGTGGGGATGTGGTTAGGCCTGAGTTCATTAATATGTGGGAACCTGTGCTATCAGCTAGAATTGAGTGAGTCAGACTTAAAATAATCACAGAAGCTATTAAAATCAACAGTCCCACCCCAAAGGGGTAGATCTCTTTCCCCACAAAAGCAGTATCTCTTCTGGTAAGATGCTTCCCTGCTTCTTTATCACTCGGATAGCTCCTTTCCTGTCCTTGGTATGCCACAGGTTGCTAGAAGCAAAGAACCTCCCTACTCGCCCACATTTGATCATCCCTAATTGCCTTCCACAAACCATTAAACAAAATCCTTTCTTTGGTAACCTGGGGGGTTTGGTGTATCAGAATCACTTCTCTCTTTCTGTCATACACTCACAGACACAAAAAAAGTCCTTACATCATTAAGATGCGAAACACATCGCTCCTGAGCCAGTGTTTTCAAAAGCAGTGTTTCCAAAGCCAGCATTTCCTGAAGCCAGTGCTTCCTGTGGGCTCCCTAGAAAAAAAGGGTTTATGGGGCAGATTTCTGCAAAGCCTGATGTTCCAGTCAGTCCATTGTGTGCAGCTATTGCTACATATTACTGGCTTAGAAGCCTTCACTGTGCCATGCCCTTGCTGCAGCCTCCGTACCACCAGTTGCCTTTCTCAAACCAGAATGCTCTCTTCTCCTCCTTGCAAAGTAACACGGCTGTAACCAGCCCTGAGAGCTTCAGAACTGCCACAAGCCTTCAGTGCTAGAACCCGCACCATCAGTCACGTCCCCTGAATATCCTAACACTGTATTTCACCTCCAATGTAAGGTGTTTAGTAGCAAGTTAATTTATTCAATAAGCAGCAAAGTACATATACGTGTGTGTGCATGTGTGAAAGTGCTAGGGGAAATTGGGTCAAGGTGGAGAAAGAGCAAAAGAGAAGGGAGGAGGGAGGATGACTGGAATCATGATAAACCGGGGTCTGGTCCCTGCACAGAATTCCTTGTGCACCCAGCTGCCATACTGCCTACTCCTCAGATCCCAGCTCTGAAGCGGGAAGCACACCTCAGAGAGGTGTTGCAAATGCAAACACCCTGGAAGACTGTGTGAAGTTGTGCACCTAGAGCAGTATGCCATGTAAACAGCTCAGGTAGGAAGGAGCAGTATCTGCTCGTGTAGAATAGGATAAAGCATAAGTACCCAACAGGGTGAGGCAGCTGGGGTGGAGAAACAGACCAGACAGGAATGGGGAGATTCCTACCAGGAATGAGATTCCTGGTTCATACAGGACTCCTGTCTGTTATTGTTTCCTTCTTTCCTAATCTGTGTTTGAAGCAGGAGAGAGGTGAAATGGCATGTAATTCGGAACACAGTGCTAGACCCGGACATACCAAATCTGCCTGCGATAAGCCTCCTGAACTTTCTAAGGCTTCACTTCCTCACCACTTCCTCAGCCATGGATGGTACTTGTCAGTGGTTCAGTGCTTCTTTCACACATTACACGGCAGGGTAAAAACTCTTCTCCTTCAACCACATGGTGCTTGTAAGACCTTACTAACCTAGCAGATACATCTACTAACATTTCCTTCCATTTCTTTGCCACCCCTTTCAGGCCAATCTTTGTTTCCTTTTTGCTCACCCTCAGCAAGATTCTTCTTTGCTTCTCTACCCACGGCTTTCCTATTAAGGAGGATATTCTAACTAATCTCCTCATGGGAGTCTACTGCTTTCAAAACTGCTCACTTGCAGAAGGTTAGCAATAACTGTATGGCAAGGCTCATTGAAATTTGCCACTCAAAGTGAAAGCAGAGATTTCAGACATCATTGTGGCAAACAGCTAATACGTAAAATGATGACATATAAAAGGATGTCAGATTAGGTTTCTGGAAGTGAATCCCAAGAAAGGCCTTTCAATCATTGCACAAGCATTTTTGCTTTCCTCATGCTACTACACAAGCCAAAGATTGGGAAACACCGGTACCAAGGGAGACACCTAAAGCAGACAACCATTAAGCATGACACTGGGTGTGCCTTCATTAGAGTGCTAGGTGCGTGAGAGCCCCATTTCAAGAAAGATATAAGATAGTAGTTTGGTTCTAAAACCGTGGAGCCCTCGCCACAGCCACTGTCTAAAGCTTTCAGCAGGGATGGTCAGGTCAGTGCTCAGGCTGCAGAAGCAGCCACCTCCTCTCCCCTCTCACCATCACACCACACTGTAAAGCCAGCCTTTTGCTCGTTGCTACAAGACTTTCTACTAATGACCACATCATGATCCAGAATTAGGACACTTCAAGGCAGGAAGTAGGTGCTCAGAACAGGCATCACAGTCAACCTGTAGATTTGGGTTCTTTTGGCAGAAGCAGACCTTCGGTTTTGTGGTTTATTCTTTAGGTTGCTACCTGCCAACTGTTCTACAAAACGTCCACATAAATGAGGAACACTGGTGTCAAAGAGAACAGCTTGAGAAACTAGGAAGCAAACTGGCTCGGATTTTAAGCAGTACAAGACTGGAGAGAGCCGGTGTCAGTAAAGTGCAGGCATCAGTTAAACCAACCTTGCAGTAATGTAAACATCAAGAAAAGACAGCTTCCCCTGCATTTGGATTTTTTTGGTTGTACTTGTACAGCAATAAATTATACTTTATAAACTAATCCACCCACACTTTAAATTGATAAAACAGCGTTCCATTAGTGGTTAATGCAACATAAAATCAACTCCACCATCGGTTCAGGTTTAAGAAGGAAACTACTGCATTTCAGCGTGCGTTTGTTGTGTTTGATATGAACTAGAGACTAGTTAATCTGCAGGACCAGCAGTAAGTTGCCGGAGCATTTACAACTCTCATTGCAGTTTAGGATGACAGGAAAAAAATCAGCATCAGGTCCCAAGACTGTAAAACTTAACATATAAGCCAAATCCATGCAACCTGTTCAATGGAGACCAAGACTGCCATGAAACTAGCTTAATAAGTGATGTTGCAACTACTTATTTGTTTTCAATATTGAGGCAATTAGTGTAAACAATTAAACCTTACCTTCATTCCTTTCGTAATTCCATTTTTCTTATAGATTCCACTTTTTAAGAGGTTATTCTGTTTCTGATGATGATGGTGATGTAGATGTCCATTGCAGACAGCATTGGGATTAGCCATCTGTTTAAATTAGTCAGATTCCCAGTTCTCTAAGGGTATCTCAGGTCTTTCTACTACAAAAAAGACAGTGGGACGAGCAGATAAAGTTCTTGGTTAAGGCCTGAAAGATATCCAACTGGTCTGTCAGGATTTTCCGGGATGAGAGGAAGATCTATCTTTTGCAATATCTTAGAGACTTAAAACTGTTTCTTTCATATACCTTCAGCCCCAGCAAGCTAGATCGCGAAATACATAGCAGGACGTGTGCTCTTAAAATCTCTGAGAAATACGTCTCATTGCTGGCTATTGTATGAACACAGCTTCTATGAGTCAACAAGGCTGCTGCAGCTATCAAGAAGTGGGTGGATTCAGAGGCGGAGACACTTAAAGATACATTACCTCTTAAACATCTCCCAGTGAGGAACATTAGAGTTTCTCCTCCTGGTTACACTGAACGTAGAGCTATGTTACTCCATTTAGAGTAATAAAATGCTTGGAAAATTTAAATAGGGTAATCTTTAAAATTACAAGGTTCATCTTGCTCAGAGTGTATTGGCTGAAAAAGTAGTATTTCACTGAGTGGAACAGAACAACTTTTTTTCTTTTCTGTTTTTTTAATCTCTTCTTATATAGGTAGCATGATAGAAACAACATTAATCCTGCAAGGAAATGGAAAACATTTCAGTATTTAAATGACATTTTACCTAGAGCTAGAAATGATATATTTAGCTCTATCCTACAGATGTGTGCACAGGTGTTTACTGAAGGGAACTGTCCCTTTAAAATCAGTTTGGCCAGTAACAGAATAAATGGCATGTTATTATAATTAAGAGGAAATGGACTTTTATAAAGTTTATTAATCTAGTTTTAAAAAAGTTAGGTTTTAATCACATATGAAATTACTAAGCAGGACTAATATACATCCTTGCTTTTAAGACACAAGGAAATACTCACACATAGTGTCTTTGCTGAAGCAAATTCTCATGTTTGAGATTTTAGTGGCAAAACATGAAAGTGTAAGAGTATCTGGCAGCATTTGATAGAATCTCTTCCTCCCCAAATGATTAAAATTATTATGGAGAGAGATTAAAGGAAAGCTGTATTATAATACCCATTTTGGAAAACAGTAAGGATGAAAGGCTAGGAGAATAAAAACACTTGGAGTGTTTTAACTAGAAAAAATTACCATGTCAGCAATGAAATGTAAGTGATACACGGAAAAAGCAGCCTACAACTTGAGTATGTAGAACTCAGGAGATTAAATATTTAGTGAGCCACTGTAAAAATATAGAGGGAAACACACTGCATTGGTTTTAAAAACTTGTCTTAGTCATGTATTGATTTGCTAACTTATATTTTCTCCTTTGAAGTGGTTTGCAAAGGGGTATATCTTCAGTGGAAAAGTAGGAAATCTTTTGGTCCCTACCTAACATACACCTGAAATGTGTTTAAAAGAAGTATCTCTGCATCTTTCCCTTTGCATTTCACCTCATTTCAGAGGTGGCCTGCAGAAACTTCCATTAAGAGCTGCAGAAAACCTCCATGATACACTATGGAGTACACCAACTGAAAAAGCAGTCCATTTATAACCAGGTTTGATTTTATATCCTTTGAAAGAAGCCTTCTACTACATATTTCAATTAATAAGACAGTAGTAGTTTTGGTCAAGAAAATAGCCCCTTAACTGAATAGAATGACACAGAAACAGTAAAACATCAAAATGTTTTGCTTCACAATTATGCCAGATTCACCATCAGAACTCAGATTTCCTAGGTTTGTCTTCTTGGTGTTTTTTCCTAGTCAAGACTGCCTCGTTTCTATGTGAAACAGTCTTTTTTTAGGCTTTATTAAGGCATCTGCAAGGATAACTCAATTACAGATTAGCCAAGAATATGTAGTGATAAGATAAATTGGTCATGATAAGGGGCTAGGAGCTCATATTTACAAGGAGAAGACTGAGATGGGGACAAGCCAGAAGAAGGCTGAAAGAATGGTCAGTAATACTTTCCTACATCACTCTCACCTATAGTACCACGACAAATGCAGCACAATGATATAGAGCATACTCTCTACTCCTGGCAACCTCCTCCCACCAAAATCTTTCTTCATTTGGGAATTGCTTCCTTGATTGTCACAGCAAAACTAAAACCTGTAAAACACATGATTTCTTCAGACAGTGACTGATCATCTTGATCCTGTTGTTGTGATAAAGACAAGAAAACTTACCAGAGTAGACTTCTTTCCCTTAACAGTTTCAGCACCTCTGCCAGGTATGCTTCCCAACAGACTCAGCACCTTTCAGGGCACAAAGTGATATAATTAACATTTCAGGTGTGTCTTATTCTTTTTCTTTTTCCAATTAGGTTTATGGGGAAGTAGAATCTGATTAAATAACAGTTCAGATGATGCAAATTCTGTCTCTAATCCCAGGCTGTAAGTCTACACCTTTTACCTATTTCAAGGCCTTATATCAGTGCCCTTACATGAATAAAAAATGGAATTAAATATGCTATATTAATTTTAGCTTTCAATGTCTGTAATATTGAAGATCGCAAACACCACTTAAAAAAATAGACTACTTTTAAATAAGAATTTAAATGAGCAATTTTAAAAACCTCAGAGAACAGCTATCCTTTAGGGTCTCTTTTAACCACACTGTAAAAGCCAGAGCTCACAAAACAAATACCACTGAGGGCTGAGTAAAATTCCTGCCCTGATTCCATTCACAGCAAAAGATTTACAGAAGGGATGAGTCTGGACAAATACACACAGATTATCTGTAAACAGGATGTGGTATTTCTCCTGCAAAAAATGAAATATGTTGAATTGTGCCCTTTAGAACTCCATCTTATTCAAGGCCATCTGTTACTCAAGTTTCTATATCCGTATCTATCATGCTACTGATTAGCTGTGTCTAAATCTGTTGCTCACAAATATGAAAGTCTATGCATGCTGGACACTGGAGCAAGGACTCAGTAATGTACTTTGCAACACCAAAGTGACCAACAGTGATACCCTGTCTCTTTTTACCATTCTGTGAGGCAAGAGGAAAAAAAGCTTACTATGCTGACTATACAAGAACTGTGTGCATTTAACTGTAGGGGACCCCAATCCTACTAAGATTGTATGTGCTCCTCACTTTAGTGGCTTGGGTTCTGGTCAGAAGTAACAGTTACCCTTCATACATTGGCAAGAAGATGATGAATTGCTAAGGTTACTAGCAGACCACACACCATGTTCTATGCAGATGCCAGTAAAGCTTGTAAGCCATGACTACAATTACTATAAATCTGTAGGAAAACCATCAGTGAATTCCCCAGATCTAGGTTTTATCCTTTGCTTTGTCATTATCATGTCAGTGCCATTGGGTCTTTGCTGACTCACCTTTTCAAATCAGGATAAAAGTGTTTAAATCCATTGTAAATGCACTAGGATTAATTGCCAAGGAGCGTGGTGGAAAACTAAATATATACAGGCAATTAGCAGAGGTTTAACAACAGAGCAGGGAGAAAAGGGAGGGGTAGGGCTCTGTCTGAGCAGTCTCTTGGTACCTGAAGAAAACCACTTTTCTGCTATGCATTACCACTGTTACACAGGATAGGTTAAAAGGTTGACCTTGGCTGATGAATTCAAGAAACAGGGACAAAACCATATAATCTTCCATTAGACTTCCAGCCCAGTCAGACCATGTAGAGTCATTAGGGTGGCCACAGGGTCCCCATGCATGATACCACTGCTAGATTACCTACTGATAAAAAGAGTACATGTTGCAAGAAAGCGTGAGAGCTGATCCCCAGAAACTGTAATGTCATAAGCCAGAATGATTTCCACATGGCCCATGCTCATCCCAGAGAACAGTTCCAGCATAGTTGTGAAACGGTCTTACAATGTGGTTGCAAGACCTTGATAATTTCCCTTCACGACAGGTGTAAATTTACGTGCCACATGAAACAATAAGGAGCCACACAAAGGCAACTACCGTTTTTGTGCTTATTTTCATTGGACAGACACTGATGTCAAACCAGAGCTCAAAAAACTGGGTGCCTAACTCAGTTCCTTTGTTAAAAGTCATGGTTCTAATAACATTTAATTTAGCTGCAGAGCATGCTCCCAGTGAAAAAGCATTCTTGCTCTCCCAATTGTTTCTCTTACAACAGTAGTCTGCCTTATAAATTCTGTGTACCACTGTTGGCTTATTCTCTGTTGAGGATCCCACTACATTGGGTACCTGTGGACCCATGGATATTGGAGACAATTCCTGCACTGGGTATATAAATGACTTATAGTAACACCAGCGAGGCTGAAATAAATGAACAAATAGGGAGACACAACAACAAACTGACATAAGCAACAGCAAGTACCAGGTATCAGCTGGTCAGTCATCTCCCTGGGTGTCTTTCCAGAGTCACCCAGGCTTCATCAACACTGGCTGTAGGCTCAGCTTCTTAAATGTTCAAATGGAAGAACCTCAATCCACCTATGCTTCTTTAAACCCTGAGTAGGGATATCAACCTATTACCTGGCCATGAAACTGCACACCAATGCTGATGGATCCCCTCAAGTGCCCTTGCACAATTGCCCTTTGGTGGATAGAAAAAAAGCTTTGAAATTGGTTAGGAAATAATAGTAGAGCATCTCAGAACCAAGACCCAACGGCATAGGTGGATGCATGCAACTAGCATTGCATCAGAGACATTGCAACATGGTACAATAAGCAGGGCTCCTCCAGCTCTGGCAGGTCCATACATCATCTGCAGAACCCTGGGGACGGCACAGATCCCCTTTTTAACCTCTGCAGACTGGAGGGGAGAGAAGCACAAAGTGGCTTCTCAGTCATGAGATAGAGGGGGCTATATATTCTTTGACTTACATCAGATATTAGTGTCTGGGAAGTTCAACCACAGGGAAATTTACAGTTTTGCTGAGTTATGTGAAATCTGGAAGAGAGGTTGTGAGATCTCCAGAATGAGAAGGTCCTGCCAACAAGGAAGTCTTACACCACTTAAAAGATAAAGTTCATTTGATTTACTGCAAAATAAAAAATATCAGATTCTGGTAAGAAAAAGCACAACCAGAAGTGTGGGCACAGGTGTAAGAAGCTATGTCCAGGCCTAGGAACCATGGGAGCAGGCAAGGACTTCTTGCAATTTGACATGCTTACAGCCTGTTTTCGGACCCATCTATTGAGGAGGCAGATTAGACGTATACAGTCATTTCATTACTTGTTATAAAAACCTGAGTGAAGCAAGAATGCCAGTGTAGCACTTTTGTCCTGTCAGCACGAACAAATGACTGTGTGCCAGGAAGCAACCTCTTTTTTGTATTTACTTTTTCTCCTACTTACATAAGCCTCATTAAATTTTGCTCTACAAGCCTGTATTGAGTCTTGATGAGTTTTCCTCAACATTGCTCCTGTTCTAAGGGGCAAGGAGGTCGCCATTCTTCTGGCAGATGTCCTTCCTTCAAATCTCAGACTGCAACTAAATCTTAAAAGGGGTGAAAGCCTCTTCGAGGACTAATGGATGAAGAAGTGCTGCTTCGTAGGTCAAAATACGACTCCAGCCTTCTAAACTTCATTGATCTTCCCTAGAAAATTCACTCTGGTTTGTGAACTATCAGGGTGCAAGCACTTCTTAGGGATCATGCATTTAAGTACCTAATGAAAAAAATCCTACT